CTTCGAGAGTCTCTATCAAACTGCCAAAACCCGCCCCGCTCCACCCCAGCCCACCACGAACATCAGCTTCACGGATGCGGAAGTAACTAGTGCCCTTGCTCGACTCCCAGTCCGGAAGGCACTTCCCCCGGACTATGTGCCGGCAAGACTTTGGCAGGCTGCCTCAGATGCCATAGGACAGGACATTGCCGCGGGATTGCACCACTGTCTTCAGCCCCCTACCTACCATCTCCCGGAGGACTGGCACCGCGTGCATGTATGTCTCATCCCGAAGGTCTCCATGGCACGGCTTCCGAAACAATTGCGCCCCATCTGCCTCCTCCCTCCAGGCAGCAAGATACTTGCGATGATGTTGGCGGACCGCATCAGGGACAGAGCAGAGACCTACATCCGCCAGGCGCCTCAGTTCGCCTATGTCCGTAGCCGCAGCACCACCGACGCCATCAGCCGAGTTTGCAGCCACCTTCATGAGGCCCGTACTCTGGCGGCCGCGGCTGTCCCCAAACGCCACTTGCGCCATTCAGGGGCGACACCAAGCCAGATTGCTGGCGGCCTTTCACTCAGCCTTGATGTCGACAAAGCATTTGACTCGTTGCCCAGACACCAGTTTGTGGAATCAATGTTGGCCGCTGGGTTAACCACCGAGGAAGTGGCGCTCGCGCTACACATACATGATCAAGCCGTGCTCAATTTTGAGCTGGCGGGACACCACGAAGAGGTCGCGCTCTCGCAAGGGATTCGCCAAGGATGCGGACTTTCACCCCTCTTATGGTCCATGGCCACCACCAAGCTCTATCTGAGGTTCAAGGAGATCACCAATCAGAAGAAGGAGCTGCTGGGAGAACCCACTCTTTATGCGGACGACATTTGGGCCTCCTGGACCATACGCACCCAGGAGCAATTTCGCTCCAGCCTGCGTGCCGCAGGGCTGCTCATTCAGCTCCTCCACGACTCAGGCCTCCGCGTCTCGCCTACAAAAACGGTGTTCTTGCTAAACCTACAAGGAACCGCGGCCCGGAGCACTCTACGCCCCAGGCTCATGAAGCTGGACACAGGCGAAACTGCCATTAAGCTCCGAGTCGGTCGCAGTATCATGTCCGTCAAAATTGTGGTGGATCACACGCACCTGGGAGCTCGAATAGCATACCAGAGCCACGAGACCCTCAATCTGCAGCATCGTCTGCACCTCGGATGGCAGGCATACTGGCGACTTGCCAAAGTCCTCCGCTGCCGGGCCCTGACCCTGGAAAGCAAAATCAGAGTATGGAGGACTTGTGTCTACCCAGTCGCCCTCTACTCCCTTGAGGCCACAGGTGTAACCCCTCATTCCCGCACACTCCTCTCCCAATTTGTCCACGCCCAACTCCGACTCATACACAAACTCCCGGGCCATGTTACCAAGGTCACCTCGTGCGACCTCCTTCGTCGCAGCCACCTTGAGTCGCCGGGAGACACCTTGGATCAGCGCATCCAACGCCACCTTCAACAGTCCCCAGAATTCCCGACCGATGCGCAGGAGACCTGGTTCGATCAGTTGCAGGACTACTCGACCACATCTGCCGTCACCGACTCAGACCCCACCGGAATCCCTGCCTCGGAGGACACAGGATCGACCCGGGCTCACCTTAAACCACTCAGCAGCGCCCTCAGCTATAGACCGCTATGCTGTCCGATCTGCGGGGTCGGCTACAGCACGCTGCAAGCTGTGCGCCTGCACATGCGCAAGTCCCACCAGACGCAGGTCCGACAATCAACTCCTGCGCCGGAATCAGCCCCTGCCACCACACCTACCCTTGCCGCAGGTCCACCTACCTCCTCCTCTTCAGCTGCTGCGGTGACCATGGATCCCGACGCGGCCACGACCCTGGTCCCCAAGCCCGCATTTGCGGCGGATGAACATGCCCTGTTTGTTTGGCAACATGGCCGCGAAGGTCTACCGCAATGTCGACACTGCCTTCGGCAGTGTGACTCCTGGCACAACCTGCGCGTGCATATATCCACGAAATCCTGCCGAACCCTTGTGCCAGACGGCTTTCACACTCTACCCCCAAAACTCAACCTAAACCCGACACCGCTCTACCATAGACCCGAGTGTCAGCCCTATTTCCTAGGCACCTGGGAACAGCTTGCCTCCTGGATGAAAAAGGCGTTTCCTCAGGCAGTGCAACATTGCCCGTACTGGCTGACCCAAGCCCGCGGCCTCCGCGCGCACATTAAAGCCAAGCACCCTCCCATGATTGCATGCTGTGAAGAAGCAGTCCGCCGCATGCAGACCCACCGCAGGCTTTTGGCCCTCGGGAAAACCTGTCGCTACTGCAGCCTGTCTCTTACGGGAGCGCCCATCAAGCACGCCACTGAGTGTGCAGTTCTGTTCCTGGTCCACCTGTTGCAAGCCACCTTCGAAATGCACAGTACTGCCCACACGGCCCAGGTCCGACATGACTCTGCCCTCGATGTTCAACGCCCATCAAGTCAACCCGGAGGACCTGGAGGAGGCGACCATGGAGCTCAAGAGTATCGAGGCACAGGTACGCCTGATCCCGAACCCGCCGTCACCGGCGCCGAAGGCAGCAGACCTCCCCGCCCAGAGCGAACCAATGGACACCTCACATCCCCCACCGGCGGAAGAGACAGCGGACAGACCCTCCAAGTGGCACCGCGACAACAGCAAAGGAGCCCCTCCACCGGGCAAAGGGAAAGGCGCGGCGGGCCGAGGCCATCCGAACCAGTCGGCACCAGCAGGACGGTCTCCCCACCAAGGCGGACAACCAAGACGGCCAGGAGGTCGCCCCTCCGGGTACCATCCTCAGCCTCCCTGGCAGCGCCAAGGACAGGGATACGGGCCTACTTCCGGCCCAGATCTCCACCTCATGTGCCACACCATGGCCAGGCTCCTCATGAGACACTCTTCCTCACGACCCAGACGGAAAGCACCATCCTCCCCAAGCTGTTCGCCACAGCCCAAGGTTGGCACGACCTGCGATGGAACAACCCGGACGCCATCACGCAGCCGATGCGCATCATCCTATGGCAGAAGCTGATGCTGGAGTTGGCGCAGCGTGCGCAGAAGGTGATAGATCAGGCGGACGCACGGGAACAGGCTGTTCAGATGGAGCTGTACAACCCGAATACGGGATTTGGCTACCGCAAGTGGAACAACAAGGAAGGTGCCATGCAAGCCATCCCGGACCGAGAGCCGCTAACGGCCCAGAAGGTGGTGGAAGTGGCTCAGGAGCTGGCGACACTGAGTGTGCAGCCACAGCTGCTCAATCGCTTTCACGCCACGAGGCAACTGGAGGAGAAGATGGAGGGAAGCACAGTCACCTGGCTTCTGGAAGTGGGATGGCGAGGGGAGCAGACAGCCCGATTTTGGGAGCTACTCCAGCTCCTCTCGCACAACTCCTCTCTCCTCATGGTGGGCTGCACCCTTCGCCCGGATCGCCTCCAAAGATCAGCCCTGGCGCAGCAGCTCCAGATCCTCTTGCAATCCATGAACATTCCCATGCCACGACAGCAGCCGAGACCTCAGCACTACTTCCGACATTGCGGCTTCACAACCCATCCAACTACTGCTACTCCCACGCTTGCCTCCTGACCTACCTTTGGATTGCGTCCCTGTCAGCCTCATCCCTTCAGGTACTGGACCGGGAACCGATAAGGAGCTTCATTGCGCAGGCGCGCAAGCAACAACAACTGACGCTATGGTCCCTTCTACCATGGCGACAGGCACTCCGGCGCTGGACTAATCCTGCCAGACAGCACGATGCCGCGGACTTCCTACTACACCTTCACCAGGTACTAAATGCACCCTGCTTCCAAGGCCTCTGGCAATCTTATGATGACCGCAGAGTGCTCCAGGATGAAGGCGGGGTTTGTCCACTCATCCTTTCTGGTATCCAAGATGCCTCTCCTGCCGTTGCTACCTCAGCCCAGTCCTGCATCAATCGTTGGTACTCGCAGAAACGTCGCCACGCCTTGATCTCAGGTACTGAAGCTGTGGCTGTACAGCTGAACAGATTCTGCAATGAGCGGGGCATTGCTACCAAAAGTGACCATCGCATCGAAGCAGATCAGGAAGTCCTCTTTCCTCAATGGACCCCCACCTCCACTGAAGACGTCATTTGGAGAACTTATCAGCTTCAGGCGATTGTCCAGCATATCGGACCTACTACGGTCACTGGGCACTACCGTGCTGCACTCAAGCCTCGCTCTGATGTTACACCCCTCTGGCATTACACAGATGACAACAGAGCCGCACAATCCATTCGCCCGGAAGCCCTTTCCACCTCCAGCTACATACTCGTATACAGACTGAGGAGTGCTGCCACTTCCGCATAGGCCCTTCGGGGCACAACGTAGTTAGTTCCGAGACGATCCAAGCGTGATCGTGCGCCACTGTGCGCCAGGTGATTCCTGCTCCAATCAGCGCATTGCGACTTTACCGTCCGCAGCGAGTGTGATGATGATGATACTGCTACTGCTATTGCTCTGCTACTGCTACCACTACTTCTTCTTCTACGTACTGCTACTACCACCACCGCCACCACCATCACCACCACCACCACTACTACTACTACTACTACTGCTACTACTCTTACTCCTGCTCCTATTCCTACGATTACTACTACTACTACTACTACTACTACTACTACTACTACTACTACTACTACTACTACTGCTACTCCTGCTACTACTACTAGTACTACTAGTACTACTTTACTACTAGTACGACAACTACTACTACCACCACTACTACTACTGCTACTATTTCTACAGCAACTACTACTACTACTACTACTACTGCTACTACTACTACTATTACTATTATCTCTACTGTTATTTTTATGAATACTAATTTTCACTATGATTATGAAGATGACTATGACTGCAACTGGCACTACCACGACCAGTACCACTGCCACTACTACAAACCATATTACATATGTCCTTCAGGACGGGTAGCTGTCTTTTGGTTTGCCTCGAAGCCTGACTTTACCCAGGTATGCGTGCCCCAATTGCGACTATCCTTCCCGTGTTGGAGCAGATCATCAAGACGGATTACGACGCTTGCTTTTCCTAATGCACGGGACCGGGCTTGAGTTCTCATCGTACAGGAGTTTTAATATACGGGGAGGGGGGCGAGAGCAAACAAGTTTAATCTCATTTTCAACTGCCGTGTACAAACACATAGCACATATCTCTTATTTCTTGGAGATGTAAAGGCACATGGTAGGCGACAACTCTAGGCTTGCTTGCCCATGCCACTGCAACGGAGGCCGTGGCTGGCTCTCATTGCATGAATAGTGCAGGTTTATGCACCTTGAACATCATGTTACCTTGGAACAGTCCGAAGCCTAAAGAAGGCACAAACCGCTGTGCTCCTAGAGCACTGTCCATGGTGCTAGCCGGGCAGTTCGTGCGGACACTTGTTTACCAGCTGGCTGCAGAGTAGGGTTGGTGTGTTACCGAGAAGTGACTTGTTTTCTTGCACAGTTTCTGCCTTGCAATGTGGTTCCTGAGTCAGCCAAATGCTCGGCGGCTTAGCGGGCAGTAGCTGGAAATGCTAAGTTCGCTGTGTCTGAGAGTGTGTGCGATGCCATGTTCACGGTTGCGCGCTACACGTCCCAGGCTTGTTTGACACAACCGTGTGTTACAACAAGTCGAAGCACTTATCATGGGGTTGAGGGGTGAGTACTGACGCTCCGCTCCCACCAACGAGATCGTGCTCCCACCTTAAATGTGCCGCTCGTTGTACTGGGTTTTCCAGTTATCGAACTATCCATGTTTTCCAGAAAATCCGGATCCTTGAGCCCGAGGTTCCTAGGCTAACCGAGGGCATCCTGGTGGTAATGGTAATTATTGTTTCGTATTGCCGTTCGACGAATTGTTGAACACTAAGAATGTGGAGGCAGGCCTCAAGGAATATGATCATGAGTTCAGATGAATCCTTTCTTTTCTGCCTTTCTGTTTGCTCGCGCTGGTAAAAGGTTTCGGGGTCCGCTGCTGTTGATGACCTCAGTCTTGCTTGTGAGGTTACGGTCAGGTCATGGATCTCTGGATGCCCCAAAATCCCAAAACCAGAAGACTCTCAAGTCTCAGCTCTAACCGTTTGCCTTGCCTGAGGTTTCCAAGGACCTCCTTCCCGAAGACCGAAAGCCGTGCCTGTTGCATCCCACAGGAAGCGCCACCAGAAGTCATAAGCATGATTGATGAGAAGCCCATCGATCGCAACGCGACCTGGCCACCCTGGAACTGCCTGGCACGTGGGGTCGCGCATGGTTTGCATAGAGTGTAAAGGGTGCGCAGGCCTATCATTCGCGATGAGTCGGTGTACAACGGCTGTTTGGCTTCCTTTGTGTTGATACCGTGCGTACAACATTAAACGTGGTAGAGCATGCAACAGCAGCGGCAGCAGGAATCACCATGTCCTTCCTGTATCTTACTATGTATACGGCATGGCCCTGACCCGGTTGCAGCATGAATGTTGAACTACACTGAACTTTTGTGAAGCCCAGACGGAGCCTCAGATCAGGTCTCAAAGATGTCTAGGAAAAGCTTCTATGTTGGCATCTTGGATCTTTGCCCCTGCCTGGGTCTTGTGTACATGCTGAATTATACCGGCATTTACGCCGTCAGCTGGGAGGGACCCAGGATCAGGAACAGGAACAGAGTTTCCCTGGCGTTTGGATCTTTGACCGCGTCTGGGTGTCAGCATGAATACTGGTATTTACTGACCGCTGGTTGCGAACACGGTTTTTGCTGTGTAACATGTTGACGACCATGTTTCCGAACGGTTGGATGCAAGCTTGAACGCCATGCACACATATGCATCTATGCGAGTGTGCTTTTCCACGCAGAAGGTATGTCGTTGCTGCTGAACGAATACTGCATGCTTTCGCCTTCATGTGCTACAACAAGTCTCTTTATTTACCATGACACATAAATAAAGCTGGGTACCTCCACCGCATGTGCAATTGGCAGCATACATACTGCACAAATTGTGTAAGCAGAAATCCATACATACAGACCTACCTACTTACATATTATACGTCATGTACCTCTCAATATGTATGTGTCTGCGTGTTTGTGCGTTTGCCTGCGTATGTATGCATACAGGTATGTGTGTTTGCTCGTGTATGTATGTATGTATGTATGTATGTATGTATGTGTATTTATGTATGTACGTATGTGTATGTAAATCTAAATACACACACATACAGACTCGATGCGCGCGCATGTATGTGCATGTGCTTGTGCGTGTGCGTCCGTGCGAGGGTGGTTGTGCGGTTGTGTGCGTGTGTGCCTGTGTGGGTGTGTGGGTGTGTCTGTGTGTGTGTGTGTGCGCGTGTGTGTGTGTGTGTGTGTGGGTGTTTGTGTGTACTGGCTCGCGCTTGAGTATGCACTTGCGTCTGTCTTGAATATGCACACATAAATTAATGTATCGCTCATTGCGGGCGCAGAGTTTTTAGCAGATGCAGCCCATATGGCATGCATCTAACTGAATGTGGGGAGGTGGCGCAGACATGTATAGACATAGTATGTGCTCACCAGTCAGGAGCTGGATATATCCAGCAGTCGGAAAAGCTGTCCCACCCCCAATGACAAAATCAATATGAAGCCACATGGACACTGCATGAGAACGCCCGGAAGACAAGGGATGCTTTGTGTGCCGTCGCCGGATATCAAAGCACCAGACAAGCAACAATGCAAGATCTTCCTCACAGATATCGGATGAGACCATCCCTGCACGTTTAGCATACCGGTAATGTGAGACCGCAGGAAGTCCAGGCGAGCTTCTGCTCTACGGGTAACCGGGCAAGTTGTTCGAGTGAAACACCACGTCGAAGTGCGTCACGAAACAGCTGAGGCCACCATTCCTGTGCCGAAATGCATGCTCGACAAGTTGGAGACTTGGCTTAAGCGAGAAGTCGTCCTTCGCGATCGTGGTCATAGAACTGGTTGTGGTGTAGCGGTTAGTTTTCAGCATTCAGAGACGCATCCGAGCACTTAAACATAGTACTCAGTGTTAGGAAGTTGTCCTTGCTGAGACTGCAGTGTGATTCATGCAAGCACACAGGTGTGCTAGAATACGGTCTTTCTCTACGCTCCAGTACGGAGCACGAAGACCTGTACCGCGACGAATCACAGCCATCAATTTTGTGACCTCAAGATGCCGGAGCTCCCAAACCCTAACCCTTTTGAGGAGCCTTGCCTGCCTTGTGCGAGTGTGAGCGTCGAAACCCTCTTCAAGCCCACGCCGGTCCAGGACTACGACGTTGGGGATCAGCCCTTCGAGCGCGAAATGTGCGTGGACAACGTGACCGAGGCCGCACCAGCAAGCGACTGTCGAAATGTAGGAACCTGATTAAGAAAATTAAGAAACCTCTAGCTGTTCTTGGGTCATGAAAAGGACTTTTGTCATCCTTCCTACGTGTTGAATTTCATCGTTGATTGAGTAGCCTCTTGGGTTCTGAACTCAATCAGGTTCCTACACTACATTAAAATCATTTCTAAGTGCGCTGTTTGGGGTCAGTAAGCCTCTATGGACTTGCAGTGTAAACTGCTGTGCATTTGACTAGGGACTGTGTTTCGATAGGTACACCCCGACGGCCCCAAGCTGTTTTGGTCTTGGAAGATGCTCCAACAGCTGCAACAGCCTGTCGGCTCTAGTCTAAATAGCAATTGGACCAGTCGTTCTGAAGCCTTGCCTGCCTTCGGCGAGTCGAAAGCTCCACCGAATTCTCAAGCGGTAGTGGTTGGCTTTTCCGAAATGTGAGAAACTTATCGTTGAGACATTTTGAGACAATACACCGTGAATAGCTGAGCTTCGCGGTGATCTGTTGCGCTTCACGTGTACTTGCCAGCCAAACACCACTGCAGAATTGCGCCTAAATCCTAGCTATTTGCAAATCTGAGTTCCGGGGCGGGCTGCATGCGGGCTATGGATCGAGTTCGGATCGCGTGCTTTTGGGTTCGCGTACTGGGTACTACAAAGGTCGAACACCTCAAAGCCTGGAGCAAAGCTCCTTCATTCCAAACCCGAACCTCACCGGTCACTCTTTTCCTGGATGTCCAGGCCGAGGGAGTCATGCGTTGTGGCTTCTGCGTGGGCTGCAACCCCTGCTGCTGCTGGGACCGAGAAGCAGTGAGCAAGGAGTGACAGGAATTTCAGCTTCTTGTCGAGATGACGATAAGCAGAAAGCGTGTCGGGTTGATACGGCTGGTGATACCTCAGACGACGTGCAGATGATCCTGCAACGAGGGCAACAGAGGTGCAGGAGTGGCAGGACTGGTGTGATATGCTTCTGGGACGAGCCACTTCCAGTGCTGCTCGCGTTAAGTTGGTATGTTTAATGGTATTGATACTGGCAAATGACATGGGGATTGGATTCTGGGACTCCGCTTCTTGTAGGAACTTGGCCTGTTTCTTGGTGCTTGTCCCGGTTCAGTGGATGTGAGGCAAATGTCGGGTGCTTCGACACGGCCAGAAAGTCAAAGAGCACTTCCGCCAGCGAGTATGCGATTGATCGCTGGCCCCAGGACATCTGCGGCTGCCAGATTGAAGCTTGCAGTTGGTGTAGCTTCCTCCAACCTGTGACGACCAAAACATTCAGAGTTGTTGGTTTGAAAACAAGGAGTTGCCATGTGGTCTCCGGGTTTCGGATCACGGTTAGTGCGGTTAGGGATGTGCCCTCCATAAGTCTGCTCGTGTACAGCACCAATCTGAAGCATGCAACTGGACTCTCGACGGTACCCTATCTCGCCGCCTGCCGATGCCAGGAGAAGTATGACAAGTATGACTTGGGCTTCTGGACGAATCCTGCTCTGTGCTGACTGACAGTGTGAGCGTGTTAAAAGGGAGCGCAGCAGGGCATCGTGTAACAATGTGAACTTAGCTGCTGCTGCTATGTTATACGCTCTAGTCTGCTTTCTTGTCATATGTATTCTCTCGCACTCGTGTTTTCAGAGTGTTTGTATATTGCTAGCAAGGACGGAAGTAGTATCGTACCTGAAGTTTGAAGTTCTCGGCCTGACCATGCCGGTGATGCAGCCGGCAAACAGGGCTTACTAGCATCATGACTATTTTTGTTGTTATTGCTATTGCTACTACGATTGTTACCATTACTACTACTATTACCTTTACTAGTACTATTTCTTACCAATTAGCTCATTTCATTATGTCTTTGGTTGCAAGCTCTCGGCTCAAGTTATTGCGAAACCAGGCGGGGAGGCTTTAGGTTCAGCTTTGAGTCTTGACAGAAAGTCGTTTGAGGGGGGCTTGATTGAATTGAGCTGTTGCGCAAGTTTCTTTGGGGAAGGTCCCAATTACTCCCACAGCAGCCAAGCCAAATCCGACAGCCCAGGCTTTGAAGCACGGGGTGCTGAAGCATCAGTCAATTCGCTTCCACCTTGGCTATTAACGGCTATTAACCAGTCCTTGCTGCTGCACTTTGTCATCTGAATCCAGCGAATGTTAGGTTGGAAGGCTGATCAGAAATCAAAGCAACAACCCAAACCATTGCCGGAGGTTTGACAAATCCAAGCGTGCTTGCAGCACGGCATTGCTTATGAGGGCACAGGGTTTCGTTGCATGCAGACTTCGCGTGTCTTGCATACACTGTGTTGGTTTGGAACCCTCATTCTCGCTACCCTTTAAGCCAAAGACCGCACAAGCCCACCGTTCCGGGCCCTCTTCGCCGACTGTTTTGTTGGCTGTGGCGAAGGCTGCATGCGGCGTCTTATAATGAAACGGGATAGGATTGTTGCCTACCATTGCCCGACTGATTGGGTGGTTTTGGTTGACTGGCGAGTGCTAGCGCTTCTGCCTGGCGTCGTGGGGGTCATACACGATGCAGGTGTTTGGCGCTCTGAGAAGCCATGGGTTTGCATGTGAGTGTGCAAAAGCAACAGAGTGCACTGAACACGATGCGCCTGCTTGCGTGTAAGTATGAAAGAAACCAAGGCGCTGCTGCTGCTGTCCGTTCGTTTCAGACTTGGGCTGTCGAGCACCTGCCGCTCATCCAAGGTAACCGGCCGTAATGGCTGCACTCTTCTTGGCCGTGTTGCTGGCTGGCGGCCATGCCTTTCGCTACGAGCTCCTTGGACTCTAACGGGCTTCAGCTGATTTGTCTCGAGTCCCGAAGGCTTGCCTTGCTTGGGTCCATCGATGAACCGAGCAACCGTCGTCGTCGTAGGGGTAGGGGTAGGGGTAGGGGCAGGGTAGTGGTGGCAGTAGAAGTAGCAGTAACCGTAGCCGTTGCGGTAGCGGCAGCGGTGGTGGTAGTGGTAGTGGCAGCAGCAGTAGTAGATAGTAGTAGCAGCAGTCGTAGCAGCAGTAGCAACAGCAGTAGCAGCAGCAGCAGCAGCAGAAGGAGCAGGAGCAGGAGTAGCAGCAGTAGTAGTATTAGGACTTTAGCAGGCGATACCCAGCTGATGATAGCATAGAGCCTGGGTTCAAAAGTGGTAGCAGTCGCAGCAGCAGCACACACGCAGACACACACCGATACGCAGCACACACACACACACACACCATCCACTTACCCGCGTACACCCGTGGACGCATGCACGCCTGTGATTGGTTTCATTCATTCAGTCTTGTGTGTTGACTTCATATGAGGTGGCTCAATTCTCTTTGCGATTCCTGACGCGAATCCTGAAGCTCCCTTGAATGGGAGCAGGTAACATTGCACGACATACGTACAAACGATCAGGCACGCTCTGACGAGACCACCGAGCTGTTTTGAGGCAGCTAGAAGATGAAGATGTTCTTCCCCGCCTGCGGGCCTTCGACGACACTTGGCTCTAGAGAGACCACTTCTTCATGTCTTGTCCTTAGTTTGTTTTCGAAGATCTATGAAGCTTCCCCGACTCTTGAGTTCGGACTTGGGGGAAGGGAGGTGTGAAGTCTGAATCCCGTGTGAAGTCTCAATCCAGGTTGCAAAGACTCAGTTTGCAGTAGCGGGTGTCTTGCAGAGCAACACACGGACATAAATGGATATTCATGCGCAACTTTGCACACAAACCGAGTGACCGACTTGTGTACACGTCGTAGTCATATGCACGTATGATTAACTGGTACGTATACGCATGCATATATAGGACAGACATGCCTATGTAGTGAATGTGACGATACGCATGTCGATTTTGGATTTTTGCACACACACACACACACACCTATGTGTGTGTGTGTATATATATACATATATCTATACATACGCACGCATATACACACACACAACACACACACACACAGGGAAGACACCAAGCACAAAGGCCCTCTTGTGTCCTTTACCGAGCATGTGGCTGAGGGCGAGCCTCCAGCATAGAAGGAAACGTTTTGCGTTCTCTCGAGCAGAGTAGAAGTTTGCGGCTGCAGTCTGGTTTGCAGCCTGACTCCTAGACAAAACAAGGCTAACAGCCGCATGCTGGATTTGTCGCCAATCAGCACACAGGAGACTGGTTTGCAACAGTTGGAGAATGGTGAGAGGCTGCCACTCACGATTTCCAGCCACTGGGCAAATTGGCAAGTATCCGGGTCCATGTTTGGGTTGTACTGTGCACATCTGTGCACTGCACTGACTTGAGTTGAAGGGCAGGTCGTGAGATAGATGCCTCTCTTACGTGGTCCTTGACCTCGATGCTGTGAATGATTCATTGGTGAGGGTATGTGAGGGTGGATGGTGGTGATGGTGGCGGCATTGGTGGTTACAACGATGGTGGTCGTGATGATTCCGCTGGTATTTGTGGTGTCGATGAAAGTCACGGTTGTGGTGACCGTGATGCTTGTTAAGATGATTCCGGTGGGAGGACCTTGATGCAGAATTGCCTCTGAAGGCGATGAGAATTACAGTTATGATGGCGATGATGAAGAAGATAATGATGAAAATGAACAGCGTTTCTACCTGAGGATGGTGGCGACATGAGGGAGATAATGGCAGTTGAGGTGTTGCAGCTTGTGTTTGCAGCTGGTTCTCGATGACATAAGTACCGCGACAGCTGCAGTTGACGATGATGATTATGACGATTATGGTGACACTGAGATGCGGAAGCAGGGGCTGGCCAAACTATCGTGGATCGCCTTGTGGACCAGGGTCAGGATACTCTTGAGGGGACGGTAAAAGACAACGCCAAGCCTGACAAAGCCGGCGACGACAACGAGAAGACCAGGAGTGGGACTGACTAGGACATCACGATGCGTCGCCTAATGATGCAGATGTGTCGGGCTAGATTCGGGAGGGTCACATTGATGGTGGAGGATGCGTGAGGGGAGAGACGGGGAGGACGAGGACACCTCACGCGGAGTGCAATCGGAGATGTTTCGTAACATGCAGAGGGGAGGCAATGAGCAGCAGAAGGATGCAGCGGCGGAGGAGGAGGAGGACGAGGAGGAGGAGGGCAAGTATAGGGCTAATAATAGCAATGACTGCGGCTACATGGCGATGAAGGTACCTCATGGTAATGTTGCTGATGACGGCCATAGATGGGAAAGTCATGTTGACGATCTTGAGGAAGATGATGACGACCAAGATGATGACCACAACCATGACGGGCTAATGCTGCCTGCACTAGTCGTTTCTGCTCAGAGAGTTTCATTTGCTCTTGGGACTCTTGGCATGGTAGCGATGGCTTAGCTCCGGCCTCTCGAGCTTCAAAGCCCACAACTTCCACACTGAGCGAAGAAAAAACAACTGAGTTTAATTGTCACTCTCGAGGCCTTTGCGTTGAGGCCCGGACATAGAAGAAAAGCTGCATATAGCGGCAGATAAAGCACTTGCGGTCTACCAACGAAGTCCTGTGACACCTCCACCATTCGGCCATACTTGTCAGCATGGCCTCGAGAAATGCAGGCTTCGCTGAGACCAACGCATCATTCCCTGAGATACCTTATTTCTGGAGACAGCGGCAGCTCAGCTGCGACCAGGATCGGCACGCTTGTACTGTGGTCGGATCATTAGTCCACTCACCGTAGTCAAAGCAACCTGCAACATGCATTTGAGCATCGGCAATGTTCAACGCAACCATGTCCTGAATGGTGGCTTCAGAGTTAGAAGTAGAACAAGGCCTCTTTGCCAGGAAGGGGCCGTGAGAAATTGCAATGCTCAAGCCCGAATCTCTTGCCCCGCCCATGCCTCAGGCATTTCCTTGTAGATAGAGTGCGATGTTGGTTCAGGGCCAAGTTTAGGGTCTCGCTCCCTGGAGCACTGTCAGATGCATCTGATGCGGAAATGTCCGCCAGACAAAGTCTCACAGTCGGCAGGTTTACCGTGATTCACTTGCTCGTTATTGAACTGCTTTGCAGGACATGGTAAGGCCAATCCGCGCTTCCTCCCTACCTCGCCCCCGGCAGCTAGTGTAGCTAGCGAGGCTTCGGTTCCTGAGCCCTTATAAACCCGAAACCCTAAACCTAAACCGTCCTTGCCTCCATTGTTGCCCCAATGATGCTAGTGGAAGCCTTCTGTAGTGATTCGTCTGAGTTGCACTGCCTAGGAAGTCTTCGCGATCACGGGTGTCTAGAGTCTAGAGCTTTGAATGAGATGTAGTTTCACGCGGTCTTGGGCTAGTGCACTCGAGTTGTGGCTAATGAGCCTATCGTCGTCGTCCCTGGATCCTCGCCTGGCTGTGCCTAAGCTGTGGTTGCTGAAACCGGTCATTCCTGAATGAAGAACCCGAAGCCGAGGCTGACTATAGTCCAACGGCTGGGGTCGGGCTCGTTCGGAGAACCCAGACTGCATCCAAGATCCTGCCCCTTCGGTTTAGGAGGATTTCGAGAGCAGCGGCAGGTTAAGTAGACGCTCTTTGCCCACGGAAAAACGATTCCCGGTCTCGTCGCAAATCCGTGGTGGAAAGCGATGCCCCAGGGTTGCTTGCAGTCAGAAAAGATTATGTTTTGGGAAAGCGGTGCCTGGTCAGTGTTCCCCGGGGATTCACACTTGCCGATCGTTGTTCATCTACTGTGGCCGCGGAATCTGCTCCAAATTACAGGGTCAGGCATGTCCCTGACAGTTGCGAGATGCTTCATGCAAGCTGAGTGTGCAATGAGCATTTGCTTGGTGTAAAGGCTGAAAGGCTTTATGGTATTCCCTGCGGCTTGTGCCGTACAGCAGTAACTCAATAAGGGCTACGAAGAAGATCTTTGCAGCAAAGCGATCTCGAAGCACGGGCTGTGTCTACGTCGGGTCTGAGCTTCTCAAGATGTGTTCGGGGTACGTGTCTTAACCCGAAGATCCACCAAGTAGTGATCAAGATCAATGTCAATGGTGGTTGCTTTGTTTGGTACTCGTGCAGTCTTTGCCTGTCATTCCTCACACGACCCACTCAGTACCAAAGTTGGAAGCAAGAAGGAAGGAACACCGCGAAGGTTGCTTCGTACTATGAACAGCACTGGTGGCAAAACGATGGAAGGCTCCAGGCCCTAGGCTTGCAGTCTGACATTCTCCCACACGAAATGTCAAGTTAGACTTGCAGAGTTCGCGGCCAGACCGTCTCCACAGGAAGTCTTCAAGTGCAAAGTGGCGACTCCTGGCAAGAAATGACCAGAGAGCGGGCTTGGGCCTTTACCTTGTCTTCTTGTTCCAGACAGTTCGCAGTATCCCTAAATTTGTTGGGACTTCTCGAAAATTAGGGGTACTGTTGGTACCGTATTTTGCAGTCCTTTCAATAAGGATCCCACTAAATTTAGGACACTATATTTGGATCCCCGATTTTTAGAAACTCCCAAATCCCAAACCCTTACCAGTCAGGAAAACTGGTGCTACTTTCGAGATGCTTCCCAGCTGTGCTACATGCTATGATAACCAACGGAGCGGAAACCGGCGACCATGAGGAAAGTTGGGACAGTTGTCTTGTCATACTTATGACAATGCTTCCATGTCCGTTGCATCTTATCAGTACTGTGGGAGTCTTCGTTGGGAAATGCATTGCATCGCTGCTTGGCAGTGATGCACACACACACACACACACACTTCCAGGTGCTCTGGAGATGATGACTTCATCACGTTGAAGCTGATCAAAGAGCAGCACCTTGTCAGAATTCCTTACGACGACTACGACCGTGACGAATGCCAAGTATGCATTCTGTACTTCATGTTGCTGTCCCGGCTGCACTCCTAAGGCGCCACGATGCCCGCTGGCTGAAGAGGCTCGCGGACGAACTGGAATCACCGTCCATGGACAGGTAACATTGTGCGTGGGAATCGTTCTGTGGCTAAGACTCCTTGATCCATCGGAAGCTTGATCGGTGCTGTCTGCTCTGCCGACAGCACTTGGCGTATGTGCCTGCCGGCACACCTGCAAAGACTGTACACGAAGGCATATTTCAACCGATCTATCTATCTATCTATATGTTTATCTATCAATCAGTCTTTCTACCCATCGAGCTACATGTACATACACGTACAGAGACTTAGGCACAGACATAGACAGACATATATACATGTACATAAATACATCTCTACGCGAACGTATACCTAATCTTGTCGTCTGCGTCCAGCCGCCGGCGACTTCCGGCTCGCAGGGAGGTAAACGATCAAAGTCGGGCTGCGCGGAAATTAAAACCCGGACATATGACTCTTTACAGAAAGCGCGTTTGGCACAGCCCACCACGGAGTGCGCACACAAGACCGGGACGGGATGTCCCCTGAACAGCAACCAAATACTGCGCGCGTTACTTCTTCTAAGAGCATCATTGTGTCGTGCGTGGTCCCGCCGTGGTCGCTGATAGCTCTCCGCTGTTGCTAGGCTCGAATCTGACGCCTTCTGCCAGCATCAGAACATCGATACTTTACTGTACCGTGCTCTGCACTGCTGTGATCATAACCCTCAGTAGATGTCGTACCTGAGGCATCCTGAGGCAGGATGTTCTCGCCGAAGGAGCGTATGTACGTATAACTCTTTGATGGTGGAACGACACAGAGGACCAATGAACAAGTAAAGGTATGTGTATACGTGCGAGGTAGGTAGGTGTGTATGAAGTTTTCCACTAATTACTTCATTTGTTGATTGCCTCGTCAGGCGCGACGACCTAAACTGCAAAGCAACCTACATCTGTGTGAAGCCAGAAGGCTAAGAGCACTTGTGCAAACGATTGTTGAGTAAAGATCAGCAGCTTAGCAGGTTCTTATCAGATAGAAATCTGCATTTTTACATATGTAAAGTAGATACCCCAAGACTTACATTCGGAAATGTACCTCTACTTGCGTTGCTATGGTCTTTATGTGGAAGGTTCGGAGGAGCCTTCCTTCCGGCTGGCATCTTGCCCATGGTGCATCGTGTGAGTTTCCAGTGCGCGGTTTCGTGCTCGAATACGAAAGGGATACGATCGAAATCGTCTACGAGAACGCCCGGTTGTGTGGGCTGCGCGATTTGCACGGGGCATGCCATTCGCAACGTGCATTTCGCAGGGATTGCGTTGGCAGAACTGGATGTCGATCGTCTCTGTAAGTTCCTGTTGTAGCGTGGAGTCAACCAACAGTTGCTGTTGTTGGTGTTGGTGTCGTTGGTGTTTTGGTTGTGGTTGTTGTTGCTGTTGCTGTTGCTGTTCTTGTTGCTGTTGCTGCTGTTGTTGTTGGTAGGCGGTGCATCTGCTGCCGCACGGGGTGGTGCAATTCCTCTGCTGGCATGCGCTGAAACTCGAGTTTTGGCACTTTCGTCATCGGACGTTGAACTTTGCTTTTGCTTTCGCATCGGTTTTTGCGGTGTTTTCTAGCAAAAAATAAGAAGTGACCCCGCCGGCGGGCTGCAGTGTGCAAACACATGTTCGGCTCTGCATTTCGCATCGGTTTTTGCAGTGTTTTTGCCGAATGTCGACTTTCTGCACATGCCGGCTTCGACTTGCATTTGTCTTTCAGCTCTGGGGGGGGGGGGGGTGATGACGTCCATGGGAACGCGGCTTGTGTTTTCTGTTTCTCTTGTTGTTTCCCATGTGTCGCAGTTCGCATTGGGTTTTTACGGTGTTTCTTGCCGATTCTCGACTTTGTGTACATGCCAGCTTAAACTTGCAATTTGTCTTTCAGCTCTCCGGGGATGGGGGGGGATGGGGGGGGTGATGACGTCGATGCGAATGCGGCTTGTGTCTTCTGTTTCTTTGGTTGCGTTACTTCTCAAACGCTACCAGTTGTTTGCTCTGTCAACTCGTGCTTGCCGTATCTTCTTGCTTCACTTTGGAAACGTCCACCATGCAAAAACATCGAGTTGTTGAAGCTTTTCAGACAAAAACTTCCCAAATGAGCCTAAAAATCAACATAACTCAACGACGAGAAGCATGGTATTTGCGACACCTCCGCAAAATCCTCACAACAAAAACAAGACAAAGAACTATAGAAAACTTAAAGTCCGATGCATCGTCTAGTTTACGAAAACCACGCAAAACTCTGGGTTTGTCCAAAAATCCTCCCGAAAATAAACGACACACCCTGCGCGGCGGCAGACGCACTGCCTTCCTTCTTCGAACCACGCCGCGCGAGGCAAGAAATGATCAAGCGGGAGATTGGTTTCCTGAAGGCAATGAACGAGGCCTGATTCGAAGTAGGCTTAATGGGTGTGGGCCGTGTCCGCAGCTGCAAGGGCAACGAACGACATCGGGATATGGGCTGCTCTCAGCGTGTAGACCGTGGAGTTCTTTTAATGCAAGCCTTCGTTACTTAGCACTGAGGGCTCGAGGTCGGGATTCCTTATGATCCTGATTGTAAGACTCGCTGGGTGTTTGAATCACGTTTCAACTTCCGCTTCTGCTGCTTCTGCCCGTAGCACTGGCTGACCCTAATTTGCGGCCACGATGATGGGCGCTCAGCGGCATCCCCTCCACCCTCGTTTTCCATAGCGCCAGAACCATCCGGCGGTAATCGCGGCACTGCGACATTCGCTACGGCACCATGCGAACTTGTCATATTTGCCGATAAGTAGGTCTTCTGTCCATTGGTGATTCTTCTGGTTTGTTGGTCTCTGTGTGTGTGCGCCTTCCTGTCTAACTACCTTCCTTTCTGTCTCTCTATTTCACTGTCTCTCTCTATCTCCCTCTCGATCTCTGTCTCTATCTATAACTCTATACTGTCTTTTTGGTCTATCTGCCTATCTACCTCTGTCTATCTCTATCTTTACTTGTCTATCTATCGATCTATCTGTCTGTTCTGCTATCGTAAACTCTTTGTAAACTCTGTCGATTTGCTCTTACTTGCCATCTCGTACCTCACAATCTTATACCATGTTATCATACCACTGCGTGTGTGTCATGTTGCATCCATCGACCTACCTGTCTATCGATGTGTCCATCTATTATCTTTCTGTTTGTCCATCTATCTACTCTATCCATCTATCTATGTCCCTCTCTCCACCACTGCGTAGTCCGGTTCACGTGGCCCTAGGCCAGTTCAAGAGAGGTCCGCGGCACCGATGGCCTGTTTGCCAAAGGTGGCTCAGCCGGGATCACACCCGGGCCGGATCTCCAGAGCCCCGGCGACCCCAATCTTCGTTTGAGCCATCTGCTGGGCTACTGGGCCAGGAAAAAAATCGTACCTGGCCAACGGGCTGTGTCGTGGTGCCATTCTCACTTGCCGTGGATTTGCGAGCCTGGACTCGAGGTGAACGGCTCAAATGGAGTTTATTTATACCTCCACTCTCTCTCCATCTATTCATCTATTATTAACCTATCCTTCCGTCCATCCATCCATGTATCTCTCGATCTCTCTATACTGTAGCTGTATGTCTATCTCTCTCTCTCTCTCGCTCTCTGTCTGTCTGGCTGTCCGTCTGTTTGTGGGTTTTTGTTTCGGTTCGGTTCTTCCAATAGGTGCCTTGAGCGCATGTACAGAGTGCATCCTGTCCCAACCTTGCCAAGGCAGGATGACGAATAAGGATACCATTGCGGTGGAGGGGGAGCGGGGGTGCCCACCGGGCCAACCATAGGTATACATATGTATATATATATATATATATATATGTATATATACACACGTTCGTATGTATGATATATGCAGATAAATGAATAAACATATATGTATATAAAACATACAGTTGTCGGTTTGCGTGTTGTCTGGGCACAGACTGGTAGTGTTTAGCATTTCGTGATGTGGTATCTTGCATCAGTACCAATTACCCTGGCTCAGGTCTCGGACTACTGCGTCTCAGCTCTCGGCTCGCCTTCCACGTTCCATTCGGACGATGGCACATGGCTCATGAATCTCGCCTCTAGCAACAGGAGAGGGATTTCGTTGCTCGGTGCTTCCGAGCGAGCGCTAAGGGGGGAAGAAGCTACTAGCAAAGTTGTGTGTGGTGTTGCTTTCGAGTTTGGTTCTTTAGGGTTCAGCTGAAGGCTTTCCGGCTCAGGGTTAGGTTCCCGAACATGCAGATCACGGAATGGAGCCTTTCCTGCGTGGAAACAGGGACACGCAAGAAAGAACCAACAGGTTTGAGCACAGAGGACTTGAAGCCGCGGCTTACTCGGGGTAAGCTCCTAGCCTTGTTGGGGCTTGGGCTTCCTTCTCGCAAATCGGGCGCACTCGGGATTTACATGTCAGGCTTTGTCTGCTCTGCCTGGCATGATTCGGAGCCTTCAAATCTACGCTTGAACACTTGTTCTTGGTTGAAGAAGAAGTGGCCGCATGATGATCCGAAGCCCTTCATAGAGATCTGCCTGCTTTCTTCGCGTTTTACCATCTCATCATAGAGCCATCCTTTAACATCTTCGCAAAGTACCTCCATTCTTGAGCCAGCAGGTCGAATCTGCGTTTGGGTCGTGTGGGACCATTTCTCGTTCAAGCCAGACTCCGAATCGCTGATAAGGATGCCCTACTTTAATGGCGGCGACTTTCTTCAAATGTTGAATACGTGCCGTGCCCAAGGCAGAGCAGAGCTTGGGGCCTCGGGTTCTTTTAGGGTTTTTGGGCTTGATGAGCAGAAAAGCAAGGACTTTTGGCAGGGTTTCGAAATCGCAAAGCCTGACGCATCTCAGACAACACCCTGGCAGCTGGTTAGCTGGTGATTTGATCTTATGTCGGGTGCAGGGCGAACTGCCAAGGCTTTTTTAAGGCCTGCTTGACTTGAACCACGAGTCAGTAGGCGACATCCCCCGAAGGTCACTGCAGAGACAAGAGGTATCCCAAGAACAACTGGAACACGCTTGGCCGCGGCATCAGCATCTTGCCTACGATTGCAGCGCAGGCAGGAACGATTCAAAGATGCGATCCAGGCGGAAGTCTGCGAAACAATCCCAACAGGGATTTGGGGCTGATAGGATGCAAGGACCGCCGCGAACGTATTGGACTATACAGGAACACTTGAATGCAGTTGCTGCTTCAGAAGTATCCTAAATCAACTTCTGGTGACTCAGAGCAGACACTGCTACCAATCGGAATCTGATCCACTGTGCCATAGTGTGCTTGCGACCCCAACAGCAGTTATTGCCTGTGTAGCAGCAGCTCCCTCATGCGGATCCTGTGCTTATCCGTGCGGTTCCTAGCTCCGAATACTACGCAAAAAACCTCAATACCTTGAGCGAGCCGCATCCTGCGATAGCTAACCGGGAAGCTGCTGTGACGATCTTAATTATGTGTTGGTTTGGGGCTGGGAGGATACCGTCCGATTGAAGGACTTGTGGTGAATGTCCTTTCCTTATTTGGAACAGTTGCCTGGAGCTTGCCGAGGCACCGCAATGGTCCTGGCTTATTTCCACCAGACAGTACAAGGCGACCTTGGCATGGTAGGGATGAGGGCGGCCGAGTGATGGTGATTCCAGAGCTTTCTTCAAGTGCTCAAAAACTCGACGGCTTCAGAGAGAAGCCCCCTGCCGAAGCGAACGAAGTAAACACTCATCCAGAGAGAATGCCGCGTTGGACACATTATGGTCGCTGGAGTGGCACTTTGGGCCGCAAGGCGGCCTCGTTCAGTACTAGGTCGTAAGAAAAGACACTCAATACTTCGCCCAAACGATCAACAGCAAATTTAACAGCAAGACAAA